AAAGGAACTTATATGCATATATATACATAACCAATGGACACAGACAACAGTGTGGAGAAGGCAGAAGTGGGGAGGAGGGGATCAATGGGGGAAAAAGGGGGAACATCTGTAACACAACAAAAACGATTTTAAAAATTAAAGTAAAAATTTTTTTAAAAAGCTTTTCCTAAAAGTCTTTGCTTATTCTACCCACCAATCAACCCTGTGACAACACATTATATATATATTAGCAACTTCTGAATTGGCTTCTAAGATTTATACAGTGCCTACTATATGCCAGATATCACATCTTGGCACTTTATATGAATTTTCTCAATCTTTTTTATTTTTAAGGTATTTTTTATTGATTTTTACAGAGAGAGGAAGGGAGAGAGAGAAAAACATCCTTGTGAGAGCAAAACATGGATCTACTGCCTCCTGCATGCCCCCTATTGGGGACTGAGCCATAACTGGCCATGTGCCCTGACCTGTGCACAGAATGACACCCAACCAAGCCACACCATCCAGGGCGAATTTTCTCAATCTTGATGAAGAGCATAATAGCAGAATAATCTCTCCCTTTATTTAATTTTCAATCTGTTCGGTTTGGGGGGGGGGGGTTGCTGTTGACTTGTTCTTGAGATGGCTACACACCAAACAGAACAGTGCCCTCATAGCTAAAGAAAGTAGTTCAACACAAATAAGCTAAATAAATGCAATAATTTTGAATACAGCTAAAATCTGACATTACCTCACTAAAGAAAAAAATATTAGAAGTTTGTGCTTAAGAAAGAAATAATCTATCATGAGATTTTACCTAATTCCAGTTAAAGCTATAAAAAATGTGGATGTGCTTTAGCCAGATGTCAACATAACTTAGAAATTTTCATTAAATTAAATTATTAACTGTGATATATCATTAGTAAAGAAAATGACCAAAATGTGTAGTTTTATCTACCAAGTACATAAACACTTCAAGTTCACTGTTAAGAATTCTTTCTGATAACTAAGATGATGAGCAGGGAATGGCATGAGGGAATATAACCAATCACTTCCTATAGTATGAGAACAAATCACTACACACCTTCCTAAGGTCCCACAATAGGAGGAAACACAAACATTTCTAGTTTCTAAATCTCACCTTTGAGAAAGGAGTTGGAGAAAACATGGCTAAACAGCAGCCTCTCCTGTGTCTCTAAAACATGTCTGTCCCCATATCTCTCTCTCTTTTCATATTTTCGGAGTAGTTCAGAGGCTCTCTTATCCATTAATATAAAGCGACTTTGAAGAGCCTCTGAACTACTTCGAATATACAGAATGAGAGAGATATAAGAGGACAGTTACGTTTTAAAGACACGGAATCCAAGTATAGTTCGGTCCTGCAGATCAGCACAAAAGTGATACTCTGAAGTAGCTTACATGATTAAAACCATACTGTCCACTCCTACAGAATCTCTACAGTTAGAGAACTTCAGATATCCTCACACTGCTACTTACAAAGAAATTACATCTTGAAAAATCAACACCCAGACACATATTAACACCACCAATCAATATCACTAAGTGTTTAACTGCTTGAAAAAAGAACAACAACAAAAAAAGATGAAAGATTAGAAAAAACAGATCACCAGTGGTTTCAGACTTTGAAGCTAGAAATAAAAAAAACTAATTTAAAAATGTACTTTCAAGATATAAAACAGGTTACTTAAACTCTAAAAGACTTTGTTTCTTAGGCAAAGAAAGGGGTTTATACCACCTAACTCATAGTTGTTTGAACAGTAGCATTTATGGTCCCTATACAAAGTAGGCACTTAAATTGTAGCAGGTATTATTGTTATTGGGAGGTTCAAAATAACACAACTTCAGTTATAATGTAAATCCTTTTAGAAGATTAAAAGGAAAATAGCAAAACCATCAACCAACTTTCCCTGTAACATGATTCTACTGGTGTTGGGAGTATGATATTTTTCTAAGCACTCCTATGATAATAAGTTTGGAGTTAAATTATTTTAGGGTTATCTGGTATTTAAGATGACAAAAAACCTCATACATATTTATCCAGAACTGTAGAAGTTCCTCATTTTATTATCTCACTGCTATAGTCAATTCTCTTTGTATGCAGACTCCTTACATTTCACTTGAACTATAGTAAATCTCACCTTCAAATGTATTAACAATAATGTAACTACCCAATGAACTGTAATTTGTCTTGTTATTTAATATTTCAGCATGCCCTCTAGTTTGATACATCCTTTTGGCAAACCCTTTGAAACTAAACAACCACCTGTTCCAATCTGAAAAAAAATCTGAACCAATAAACTACACCAAAATAATGGCCAGTCCCAGCATGAAGGGGATTACAGAGGGGACACAGAGAAGTAAATGTACTGCTGCTTTCCATTTATTCCTGAGTCACATTTTTACAGTCTGGATTTATTTCATGTAAAACCAATTACCAGATTACCAGACACACCCATATTCAAATGCAAGTGAAGAAATATGGTAAACCATGTATGAACTGTTTAAGATTTTATACTTTTCTGTTTTTCTCTATTAACATAAATGATAAGAAGTTGACTATTCTGTTATAATTTATTTCCTTCAATTAGCTATCTTTATTTGCCTTATCTACTTCCTATTAAAATAGACTCTATACACTTGGACCTTCATGCCTCAAAATGACTCATTTTTAAATACAACGCATGCTGGATTTCCCTGGCCTAATCTCCACCTACCTTCATAGTTTCCTTTCCCACAAAGACCTCCCAGAACAGCAGCCTTATGTCCAGCTCAACAGACCCCATAATACTTAACCCATATGCCTGTGCTCAGGCTGTTCCCTTTACCTAGAAAACTACCCCATTCACACACAGCCCCCATTTTGCCCATTAATATATTTTAAGGCCTAAATGGACTGATACCAGCTGTAAATTCATTCATAATTCCCTAGTCAAAAATTAGTCTCACACACACACACACACACACACACCATGTTACCATGCATCTATAATAAAGCCCACAGAAGTTTTGTGTTGCAATTATATCTGTGAAAGCCAGCTTCTTCCTTGAAGGCAGCTACTGAGTCTCATTCATCTTCATATTCTACCCACTCTTCCATCCTCACCACACAGTAAAATTCCCTAGCACATATTAAAGGTCCAGGTTGAACTAAACTATCCTTGATTCTAATCCCAGTCCTTTTATTTGAAGAAATAAATTACTTTCCTGTGTTGAAGATTTTATTAACAGTCAATGCTTGGAAATATGATGATGAAAACATTAATAGAGAATGCATTATTTTTTTAAGTTGATTATTGCAGAAGAGGTCATTAAGTACAATAAAGCATCAGTAAATATGATAATCATTTTCCAAGAGTTCCCCAAAAGTCTCATATATATCAACATTAAAATTAACCTTTCTGTCCCGTATTTAATAAGAACTACTTACACCTGATGCATATCCAAAAATGCAAACTCCCTGAAAGCAAATGTGTCTATATACTCTGCTAAGAATCTATGTCAAAGCCATGTAATTTATTTGGTAACATATTCCTTTCAATGCCCATAAATATAGTTTTTGCCTTTTGTGCAAATATAAAGGCTAATGTATACAAAATATGAAGATAATTCAACTTCACTTAGAATACAGTTGGGGCAAAGTTTGAGAATAATCATAAAATACACTAAGCACATCTCTCCACCCCCTCACCCCAAACAGCTACTAAGAATGTCACAAACTAGATCTGATTTTTGGTGGAAAATGTTTTCTTAAACTGGCCTCAGACATTTCTAATTTTAAATCATTCTCATTATAATTTTTGTGATATTTTCTTCCATAATTTATTTATAAAGAAAACAAGCATACACAACACACAGCCACACACACACACACACGGCTTTTTAAATTATATATATTTTTTCCTTTAAAAAGTATTCCAACTTATAGTTCAACATATTTTACTATCTGTGGGCAAATGTCATTCATATCACAAGAACAGCAAAAGCAATAAATACTGACTTCTTTTCTTAGCTTATTAAAAATCACTAGATTTTAAATTTGTCAAGTCCATGTTCTAAACCAAAAGGTTAAGAGGGAGTCACTTACTGACCAGCCTTGGTACTCATTACACCAGAGTTAAAACATTCGCACAGTGTAGCAACAGTAGCCATCTCCCACACAGGCACACTCTCTCTCCCACCCATTAACTTTTCCTCCTTCCCCGGGAGAACTAGGATGACCACAGCACGGACCTAACTACCCCCACCCACCAGAACACACACATCTCCATCACCGCCCCGCAGAGCAGAAATGTGGTCAGAGAACCGGCGCTTCTCTGTGTCACTTCCCCGCATGTGGGATAAACAAACCAGCACCGTAACAGTAACCATCCGAGTAATTGTGTTACTCCGACTAATGCCTTGGGTAAGTTTTGAGCTCAGTCAAAAGCTCTATCAAATAGGTAAATCCCTGCCCCCTGCCTTACAACAAACGCCCCAAAGCGAAGTTTGCCCCTGAAATGAATGCTGGCCCCCGACACCTCCTTCCAGCACCAAGACCTCTGCCTTCCTCCCTCCTGCCCGAAACCCCCACTCCGAAGGGAATTGTCTGGACACAATCAAAGAGTGCTGGGAACTGCACTCCCGACTCAAACCCCTGCTAAAGAAGCCCTGCCTTTGCCCAGCTCGCCCACCTCCCTCCAGTCCCCACTCGCGCCGCACCACTCGGGCAACTTGTGCAGCCCGCCCGCCGCCCGCCGCCCGCCGCCCGCGGCCCCCTCCCTGCCCACCGAGCCTCGGCGCCCTCGCCCCCCGGCCGCGGCCCCCTCCCGCCCGCGCCACGCCGCCGCCCGCCGGGGTCCTCGCCCACCCCTCCCCCGAGGCCCCCGCCCCGCCGCGCCCCCCCCACCCCACTCAGCCGGGACCCCAGCCCACCCCGCCCCACCCGGGAAGAAGGCAGCCGCGGCCACCAGAAGGCTGCCGCCGGGCCACACGACCCGGCGCCAACGCGGAGGGGGCTTTACCTCAGAGGCGCGGCCGCCAGCAGCGGGGTCGGTCCGGGCGCGGGCGGCGCCCCCAGTCAGCGGCGGCGGGGGCAGCGGCGGCGGCGGCACATCACACCCGCCGGCGGCCGGAGGAGGAAAGCGAGCCACGCAGGGAGGGAGCGAGCGAGGCAGGGGGGAAGGAACGAGCGAGGGAGATAACGCAGCTCGGCTCGGACTGGGTCCCTGCACTACTGCCGGTGCGTCCTACCGCCGCCTCTGGCTGGAGAGTCGCCGCCGGGGCCGCTGCTGTCGCCACCGATGCAGCCGGGAATGAATGCACAGCAGCGCCTCACTTATCCGGAGGTCAAACATCCTCCTGCCTCGGGCATCCGGATCCGCGCCGGACCCGGAAGTGAACACACGGAAAAAAATAAAAAAAGGAAAGCGTCTCTCGAGCGGCGGCTGCCCCCACGCTGCCCGCAACAGCGAAAAGAGCCGAGTGGAGCCGAAGATTACACCGGCTTGCTCGGATTGGTCGGCTCGCCGACCGGAAGGAAGGCAGCACGCTCATTGGCTGTCAAGGCGTATAAAGCCCAAACCACTCTTTCCAGCCCACTTCCTTACGAGCGATGCGTGGGGGCGAGCGTGGAGTAATTGTGTTTCTCTGGTTGCGAGGCTTGGCGACGGTTTTGTGGAGAGAACTGGAAGAAAAACACCCATGGTTTAGGAAAGCTACTAAAAACTCAGTGGCTCGACTGAGCAAAGAGCCTAAGGGCGCCATTGTGCCAAGTCAGGGTGCCAAGGCTCTCCGGAGTGTGCCTAGCACAGCCCTCCAGGTGCCAAAGATTTTTAGGACCCTGTCTAAGGGTAGTAACATCACTGGCTCCAACTCTCACTTTTTTTGTAATCCCAGTGCTATACCAGAGATTCAGCTGCTCCGTTTGTGAGCTCAGGTAATCCTCTGAACTATATAATGTGGTAGTCATTATCTCCGTTTTTCAAATGACCATCCTGGAGCTTCCAAAGGCCAAACCACTCAAGTCATCAAGTTGTAAAACACAAACTGCAATCTGACTCCACTTTCTAGTCCTTTCTGCCCACAAAGAAAAGGCAGAAGATTACATTCTTCCTCTCTCGAATAGCTGGTTAACCGGGAGGGAGATATATCTCTTTGAAAGACTTTTTGGAAATAGATCCACCATGAAGACATTGCATAGGACTCTGAAACTTTAATTTTTGGAAAATCGTTATTCTTAATATTACTTACATCTAAAGCCCTTTTAAAAGTCAGATATTAAGGTGTGCATGAAGAAAAATCATAGCCCAGTGCTATGCTTATTTATTTTATTTTGTTGTTGTTGTTGTTGTTATTAATATTCACCAGAGGATATTTTTCCATTGATGATTTTTAGAAAGGGTGGAAGGGAGGGAGGAGAGAGAGAGAGAGAAACATCATGTGAGAGACATATCCATCCATTGCTTTCCGCACATGCCCCACCAGGGCAGGGGAAATGAACCCATGTACCCTTGACTGGAATCAAACCTGAGACCCTTCACTGCACAGGCCCACGCTCTAACCACTTAACCACACTGGCCAGAGCCTGGTGCTATATTTAAAGATTCACTTATCGAACATTTTAATGTTTTAATATATTCACTTTATCAAGAAATTTGTCTCACATGCACACACACACACAACACCTTAAAAGTCTCCAATGAACCAAATACACTTTAAAATAATTAAAGATTTATCTCATTTTCCCTCTCTGCCTTACCAGACTGATGGATGATAGGGTTAATGTGTAACCTTCAGAAGGGTGGTTAGTATGAAAAGATGCTAATTTTGTTTTTAGAATACAATAGTGCCTTTATTTAAAATCTCTCTCCTCACACTTCCCCAAACTGAAGGTTAAGAAATTGTTGGTATTACCAATCTTAGAAGAGTAGTGATATTAAAAGCACTGCTTCTATATTTATCACAACACCATCATTCTGTTAGAGACTCAAAAGCAACTCAGATTTGTGCATGCTCAGATTTGGGAATAATTTTTTATTTTATTTTTTTTTTATCCTCACCCAAGGATATTTCTCCATTTTTTTTGTACAGATAGAGTGGGAGGGAGAGAGAGGAAGGGAGAGAGAGAGAGAAACATCGATGTGAAGGGACACATCGAGTGGCTGCCACCCGCACGACCAACCAGGGCGGGGGACAAACTGCAACCGAAGTACGTGCCCTTAGCAGGAACCAAACCCGGGTCTCTCCGGACCGCAGGCCGACGCTCTAACCGCTGAGCCAAACTGGCCAGGGCAGATTTGGGAATAATTTGCCTAATCAAATGATATCCCAAAGTTTTTATCTATCCCAGAACCCCATTCTGGACATGAAACATAGTTAACCCTATATCACTAAATGGAGAAGAAATGTCTGCAATACAGGGAACTCTAAATATTGTCATCAACAACCAACAAACCATTTTATACTCTCTGCCTCAAAATGCACAGTTTGAATCAAGAACATCTTCTACCCACCCTTCAAAGTTCTGATAAATGGTTAAGAAATGCACATATATAAATACATGATCAAATCACATTTTTAAATTAGATATGGGTTGAAGTAAATGTTTACATTTTAAACACTTGAGTAAAGACATGTTGTTGTTAAAATTTGGCCTAGAAGCTTCAATAGATTAAAACTGGCAGGTTACCTAGGTAGAAAGCCAATGAAATTTTCATATCATTCTATTAACTTGTAAAAAAAAAAAAAAAAAAAAAACTGGCAATATCAAAAGAGCTTACTTTGATAAGGGAAAAAACAAAACTATATGCATCTCCACAAAAACTCTGCTTTGTACATGGTCTCAACAGAAGCAGATTGTAATTTTTCATTTGCTATCTCATATATAAAATACAGTTAAATTTTTGTGACACCCCATGTTTCCCAGCATTGCCACTCTTCAGATATCTATATTCTATTAAATTTTTTCATGATTTCCAAAGTACTTTCACACTTTTTATTACCCAGAATTCATTCTGTTGAATTTATATTTCTATAGATATAAGTAAATATTTATTCTACCATTTAGGCATGAAACACTGTAATGACTACTATTTAAACAGCAAAACAAAATACAGCCCGGCTGGTGTGGTTCAGTGGTTGGGCATTGACCCATGCACCAAAGGTTGCCAGTTCAATTCCTGGTCAGGGCACATGCCCAGGTTGTGGGCCCAATTCCCAGTGGGGGGCGTGCAGGAGACCACCAATTGATGTTCTCTCTCATCGATGTTTCTGTCTTTCTCTCCCTCTCCCTTCCTCTCTCTCGAAATAATCAATACAGAAAAAAACAAACAACAAACAAACATGCCTGGCCAGAGTGGCTCTGGATTGAGTGTCAGTCCCATGAACTGAGAGGTCCTGGTTTGCTTCCTGGTCAGGGCACATGCCTGTGTGGCAGGCTCAATCCCCAGTAGGGGCAGGCAGGAGGCAGCCAATCAATGTTTCTTGATCTCACATCGATGTTTCTATCTCTCCCTTCCTCTCTCTCTAAAAAAAAAATCAAGAAAAAAATTTTTTTTAAAAAGACAAAAAGCAGCAAAAACTTTACTCATATATTTCTACTAAAATGATGGGGGAATTACTTCAACATGACTTTTGTCTAAGACTATCATGAATTTCTTAGGGTAAAAAAAAATTTTGTCAAGTGGGAATTGAGGAGAAGGGAAAAAAGACAGCAAATTTGGGGTGTACCTTTAATTTTACATCTTTGATTTTGTTTGTATACAAATTATTGTCTAAACTATTTCTCTTTCTCTCACACCTCTGAATGTTCACCTTGGCTACCCAGCCCCACCAACACATGCAAGCACATATACACAAACTGAACAGTGTAGGATTAAGGCCTTCAACTAGAATTGTAAGCAGGAAAACTATTCCATTTCTTTATTTCTCCCACTTGAAGTCTTAACTGCTTACAGAAAAGGGAAAATGGCCAACTTTACCTTCCACCAAATGGAGGTAGCATTCTCTCTCAGGTAAAGTACCTGTAGGACTTGAAAAGAAAGCATTTGTCAAAAGAGAAATTTGCTAAGTGCAAGTTTCCAGTGTACCATTAGAGATTATGAGAGCACTAACATAGATTTGTGCTGTAATCATTTTCTCCCCAGGCACCTTGTTCATACTATTAAAATACTCTCCTTTGCCAAACTTGTTTTGCACAAATTGATCAAGAAATATCTCCCCCCTCCCCGACCAAATAAACACCAAAGATTACTCTTGTGCAGTGATTTTCAACCCGTGGCCTGCACAAGTTGAAATTTTTAAAACATGCAATACCTGACTATTTAGTCAGGGGCTCTGACCTCCTTTCTCTTAGATTGTCCAATAAAAATGGTAATAACCAACACGGCAATAGCCGTTCAATGTGAATGAATCTAAATTATATAAAAAAAAAAAAAAAAAAAAAAAAAAAAAAACCTTTTCTTTTGTCAGACCAGCAAAAAAAATCAAACATATATTAGGTGTGCTGCAGAATTTTAGTAATTAGTTTCTGTGTGCCATGAGATAAAAACATTTGAAAATCACTGATCTAGCACTGTACCTTGATGCAGTGTATTAACAATGCAGCCAGTCTGGCTGAGTTGAATACAGGTAGATATTTCCCAACTACCAGTGGAACAACCAACATTTGTATAAACGATATTATTACATCTGATTCTGACAACAACTCCATGAAGTAACATACCAGCTAGTATTATTTTCCTCCTGTTAGGAATAAGGAGTGATGGCCTCACAGAGGTTAATTGATGTACCTAAGATTATAACCTGTTAAATATAAAATACCAAATTATGTGATTAAGATATTTATAAAAACTTTTCCAAATAAAAACAAAGGAGCCCTGGCCGGTTTGGCTCAGGGGTTAGAGCGTCGGTCTGCGGTCCCAAGAGACCCGGGTTCGGTTCCCGCTAAGGGCATGTACCTCGGTTGCAGTTTGTCCCCGGCTTTGCTTGGGTCGTGCGGGTGGCTTCTCTCTCTCCTTCCCTCCCACTCTATCTGAATAAAAAATGGAAAAATGTCCT